ACATACACACACAACTGGGTGAGTTTAGAGATCACCGTGCACATTTTTGACTTCACAATAGATGAACAGAAGTCTTCAAAATAACTTCGACATGTCAAAAATGTTAAGAATGGTCTGGGATTAGCATGTACACCCTTTTATTTTGAACTAGATGAAAAATGAACCATCGTTTATGTGGTTGAACATAACCAGTGAGTTTCTGAACACTTTATTGTGTATTCTCATCAGGTTTACCACGACAGATTCCTTAGTTAGGGGTTATGGGTTAACATGACTTCTGTCAAACACCATTTTCAAAATGTTTAAATCCTCTTTTTATCCATCCATCCATCCATCCATCCATTTTCCTCCACTTATCCGGGGTCGGGTCGCGGTGGCAACAGGCCAAGCAGGCTGACCCAGACTTCCCTCTCACCGGCAACATGTTCCAGCTCATTCTGGGGGATCCCGAGGCGTTCCCAGGCCAGCTGGGAGATGTAATCCCTCCAGCGTGTTCTGGGTCTTCCCCGGGGTCTCTTCCCAGTTGGACGTGCCTGGAAAACCTCCAGTGGGAGGCGTCCAGGAGGCATCCTAATTAGATGCCCGAACCACCTCAGCTGACTCCTTTCGACGCGAAGGAGTAGCGGCTCGATTCCAAGCTCCCTCCTGATGACCGAGCTCCTTACCCTATCTCTAAGGCTGAGCCCGGCCACCCTACGGAGGAAGCCCATTTCGGCCGCTTGTAGCCGCGACCTTGTCCTTTCGGTCACGACCCAGAGTTCGTGACCATAGGTGAGGGTAGGAACGTAGGCCGAGTGGTAAATTGAGAGCTTTGCCTTCCGGCTCAGCTCCCTCTTCACCAAGACAGTCCGGTGCAGCGCCTGCTTTACTGCTGCAGCCGCACCGATCCGTCTGTCGATCTCCCGCTCCATCGTGAACAAGACCCCATAAATCTTGAGCATCTGAGCTGTGTCCGCATTCTCGGCAATAAGTCAGACACGTTCCCGGTGGGTGTTGGCCTCCGCCAGGGCTGCCCTTTGTCTCCGGTCCTGTTCGTGACTTTCATGGACAGGATATCTAGGTGCAGCCTGGGGGTGGAGAACGTCAGGTTCGGGGGTCTCGGGATCGCCTCTCTGCTGTTTGCAGATGATGTGGTCCTGTTAGCCTCCTCGGATCGTGACCTCCAGCATTCACTGGGGCGGTTTGCAGCCGAGTGTGAAGCGGCGGGGATGAGAGTTAGCACCTCCAAATCTGAGGCCATGGTGCTCTGCCGGAAACCGGTGGATTGCTCCCTCCAGGTGGGGACGGAGTGCCTACCTCAAGCGAAGGAGTTCAAGTAAATCCTCTTTTTAGTTTCCTTAAAACTAAATATCGTACTAACAGTAAAACCTCTGGTTTATACTGTGTGTCTGAGAAACAGAAAGTAACACTTTGTTAAATTTGCAAACACAAATATAGCAAGTAAGAAACGGGGAAGTAGCTGCATCATGCGATTGTCTGTATAGTTTGCTGCTTAGTAGTTTTAAGAAACCGGCTCACCGCTCAGCCAGGACCTTGAAATGTGGGACCCCCATGCCCCAGCTCCTCACCATCCACGCTGTGTCAAAAGAAGCCAGAAACCCACGGGCAATACCTGTGCCCAGAGGCCAGAAAGGCTGCAGAGAACAGAGCAGAACTTATTGTAGCACAACAACATTATCTTGCAGTCGACAGCATGTCATGTATTAAAACTTATGGGACAAAAAAAACAAACAGCTGCCCGGCTTTTCATGCAAACTCTACAGAATAGCTTAACTTCCAAATAATCATTGTCTTTATGTAAACAACAATAAGAGTTCATGGCTACGCTAGCTGCTTTGTCAGGATGTAGTCGGACACACTGGTTTTTTAAGCTAAACATCAGAAAGCAAACATGTTCACAATGAAAATGCTAATATGCTGATGTTTCACAAATATAAGGTTTCCCATGTTTACCATCTTAGTTTAGCATGCTAACATTTGCTAATTAGGACAGCAAGTACTGCTGAAGCAGATGGGAATGTCAACAGTTTTGCAGGTATCAATCTGTAAGATTGATAAGAATGTAGGATAGGCATGTATAAGCATTATGCTTCTGCCTATGCCTTTTCTGTCATATATTGTATACTAAAATGTATGTAAGCTATATTTATTGTATTGTGTGTGATGGCTGAATAAAAAATAATAAACAATTCTTGACCCGATGTATAGCGCTAGTCAAAGTTTGTCCCAATCTGGCAATCTTTTCACCCAGAACCACGAATGTGAATCTCACGGTGGCGCAAGAAAAGTCGGTGGATCACCAAACTCATTTCATCATCCGACAACCATGGATGTTTTTCAACGATATTTTCTGCCAAGCTGTCTAGTAAATGTCGAGATATTTCAGTGAAACATTTGAGCTGCTGGTGGCGCTCAGGGATTCATCTTCTGGGGACCATGAATGCATGCATGATTGCCAGCCCATTCATGGTTACTGAAATATTTCAGTCTAGATCAAAGTGCCTGACTGATCAACTGACATCACCATCCCTTGAGGCACGCCGCTAGAAATGTGAAGTCGGGTCAATTTTGCACCACATCTCTTAACATGTTGCCCCCCTACCTCCACCAGGCAATCTCCAACAAGACCCATCAACAATTTCTTCCCCCTCCTCTCCCTGACCAGAGAGGCATTCTCAGCACGCTGCATGCAGGTGAAGTCGAACATGGCCACGTCTGGCTGGCCGGCATGGTTCTTAGCAAACTGGAGGTCAGGCAGTTTGCCACCGGTGGAGAAGTAAGCGGCATCATGGGCGTAGCGGCACAGAGCCTCATGATCCACGTTCGCAGGAGCCAGCAGCTCCTTTGCATCGCTGTAGTCCTGTAGAGACAGAGTGAGTGGTGCAATCTGATGAGTCACGGCATCTTGTTATGATTCTGAGTGACACTTCTTATATTTGGTTTACAGCTTTAACTAATGGGCCAGGATGCAGAGAGAGAGAGAGAGAGGAGATGATTGGCAGTTTATCTCTTCACACTGGAGCACCTGCATGGCTGTTCCATCCATCTGGTTTGTTTCTTTTTCCTCACTGGCCAGAGACGCAGCTCGTGCCAATAAGAATCACACTTTTTCTTGGTAATGGATGTGTTGTTCTCACCTGTTTAATGACCCCCTTCTTCAGCAAGCTCTTCTTCTTGGCAGTCATGACAAAGTAGTGGGTGTCGTCTTTGTAGTAGACAATATTCTCCAAATTAATACCTGGAATGGAAAATGGCGAGGGAGCATGGTGGTCATAAAAAAGAGAGCGAGACCAGCGCGGGAGAGTGGGAGAATCAGGAGGGCTGACTTCAAGAACATTTGGTATTTGAGAGGGATAAGTTTCTACATGATTAGCTTGCTTATGATTTTCTACTCGTTTCCCTGGTCAGAGTGAATTTATCATACAACTGGGTGCTATTAAGGTTATGAAGCGTCACATAATTCCTGTAAGGTTTGTTCAAAATCAAGGTGCCGAGTTGGTCAGTAAGCAAGGGCGGATTTCATCAGGGTTAACGCTGTCACAGGAAATTAACCGAAGATTGGAACACAGATTAAAAGCCTCGCTGCCCTTTTCACACTCCACATTGAACCCGACCCGACAGTGTGAACATTCATTTCATGCCTTGAGGGTTTCGTTCAGCGAGGCACAACAGCAGAACAGCGTAATGAAAATAGGAGCGCTGATATTCTTATTAGAAATGTTATGGTTTAGTGATTCTCTCATAATTCCTGTTCTCACTCAAGTGCAAGCCCGTGGTATAAAATAAGTTCATCTGAAGCAACTGATTTCCTCTTTTCTTGCTTAAATTTTACAGTTTACTGAAACGGAGCACGCGGTTGCCTCACTGCAAATAAAAGATGTCCGCTCCTCTTCCACCCAGCTGAACGTGACTGTAGATGTCATATGGATTCCTACCCGTCTCAGTGAGCAGCTCTTGGAAGAACTTCTGGTTGTAGATGCGGGCCACACCGCTGATCTCTTCTACATGGGCCTCTGCAGCCGTGTGTCCGTTGATGAAGTTGGTTGTGATGCCGATAGCCAGCTTGCCTCTCAGCTCCTTATGCTTAAAACCTGAGAGTTTGGGAGAGGAGAAAAGAGGAAACTGGGCTGATGAAAGCTCACTTATTGAATATAGCTGCCGGAGGAAGTTCTGTGACTGTGTGTAACCACCGGGACTCGCAGAATTTCTAACTGCGGCTGTTTGTGCCCCCCAATTGCAACTGTGGGAACGGAAGTGATTCAAGAGTACGTGTATGTTTGTCTCACCATCAGGAACAAACCTGCCTCCTCCAGCAGAGATGAAGACGTCAAACTGGAAGGTAGCAGCAGGATGAGACCCCGGCTGCAGCTTGGCCATCCAGCCTGTAAGAAACACATCGAACTGTGATAATAACTTTGCTGCTTTACATACTGATGGTTCAACTGATGATGGTGTACTGAGAAAAAAAAACTAGGCAGAGTGACTGCTGGTTGGCAAATGTAAGTACCGTTTTCTCCCGAGGGCTCAATCAAGCCCTGAAACTCCACTCCGGTGTGCACCTCCACCCCGAGGAGAAGGCACACTTTCAATAGAATCAACTGCAGCTGACGGATGCCTGAAAACACACGTGTATTTCATCAGAAAGGTTTGTGTGAGATATTCAAGATACTAAATACACAGTCAGTCATGCAAACAGAAAGATATTGGGAGCTAGGGCTGTGATAAATAATTATTTCTAATACTTAGTAATGTATAATCAACACATTCATTTATTAATTGTTTAGACTGTCAGAAAATAGAGAAAAACAGCCGTCATGATTTCCCGGAGTCAAAATCTTATGAAGATCCCTGGGAGCATTGCAAAACAACACCAGACATTGAGCCACAGTGCAGGCCAGCCCATTAAACACATTCATTTGTCACTCACTGATGTGATCCAGCGATCCGGTGCAGAATTTGCCGTAGAACTTCTTGGCTCCGAGCCAGCGGAGGTCATAAATGGTGTAGGGCCACAGGTGGAGAACATTGTTCCTGGAGAAGCACTCTCTCTTCTCCAACACCACCACCTGAGCCCCCAGCAGGGACAGTTCGATGGCCGTTCTCAGCCCACATGGCCCAGCACCCAACACAAGACACTGAGAGAGAGAGAGCGAGAGAGAGAGAGAGAAAAGGCCAGCATGGGTGATATGATGCCAAACAAAGGATAAGGAAATTAGGTAATAAAAAGTCCTGCAGGGCAATCTGGGTGCAAAGTTAAAAATCAAACCACGTCATGGTTCAGATTTCCTTATTGTCTCTGTTGCTGTTTTTTTTAAACCTCAAGCCCTCGACATTGTGTGTGTCACAGTAAAACAAACGATGTAGTACCCTCCATGAGCCAATGAGTAGAATTTTTGAAATAGCTTGAAAGGACCATTGACAAGGTTGGTTTAAATCCGATCAGCAGCTAGTCCCAAATAATCTGCTTGATAAACAGGCTTGATTCGTTCTCCCTTCCCAATAGATTATTACAATTATATAGTAATAGATTACGGTTTGAATCATTTCAGTTCAGATAAAACTGCAACACAAATAATCTATAGTTGTGAATGCTGACATGTTGTACCGATAATATTTATATTAAAAATTTTGATCAGATAATTATCTGATATTACAGGTTTTCAGTGTTTTCCCCAGAATTCAGAAAAATCTCAAAAGCAGCATTTAAATTATGGAATGACAAAAAGTCCACACTGTATCTGGTGAGTGGTGGGTAAAATTATGTTTTACATTGTCATAATAAGAAATTAATAATGCATTTATACAACTAACAATAAAACAAAACAAAAAAGGAACGAAACTGAACCCGAGTACATGTCTATTAAAAAGAATTATCAATATAAAATATTCTTCTACCAAAAAAGCCAGCCACATCCTTTTAAAATACAGGAAGACGAAGAGAGCGTCAAGTTGCCACTACCTTGTTTTTGGTGCAGGCTTTTCCTTGCTTGTAATCCGGGTGAGATGCCCTTTTGTCCAGCTTCTTCCACAGTTCTTTGGCCTTCCAGTAGTTCAGTCTCTCCTTTAATTTGATGTAGAAGCTCCTGAAATCCTTAGGATCGATGTCCAGTTGCTGGTAGAGTGCAGCAAAGTGTTGCTTCACATCCTTACAACTCTGGGCTTGGACGAAGAGGTCAAATGTAGCATGCGAAGGGTCGGCAGGGTCCTGGCTCGCCATAGTGGAGGATGACGGTCTCTGGGTTCGTTGGTTAACTGTGAAAGAGGAGGTTAAAGTAGAACCATTTGGAACTTCCTGCCTGTAGATAACTGGGTCGAGGGGATAGGATTACTGTAAATTATCAAAAGGGTTACAAAGTCCTTGATGCCTTTGTTGTTAACATTTATAGTCTTCTACCTCTTCTGTGCTGTGGGAAGTCTCCTCCTCATGGTCTCCTAAATATAATCTAGATGTTTAAATGTGTTAGGACTTCCTCGTCACCGAGTACACTGAGACATAACTAACTTCCTCAATGTGTTTTCTGCGGCTCGCCGCATCTTTCCTTTTTCACAACTGCTCTGCACTGAACAGCCCACCCACAGCGATGTGTCATTCTCACACACTGCCTCAGGAGGTGTGCCTGTCTTTAGTTTCAGGACGCAAGAGTCTAATGGAAACACACGGCTAAAACACATAGCGAGCATTTGGAACTTTGGGATGGAATAACTGTTGAGTATCACCTCAATCAAACAAGAAAAACTAGATGTGACACAAGTTAAAATTAGATATTAATAAGAATGTCTTGCTGTTGATAAGTATCGCACTATGGCAAGTGTACGCAGTTCAGCGTAATGAAACGCCATGTATTATTTTAGACCAAACTAACAATAGATTCATCTGCCGACCATCTTCTCCATCAACTGGATTAATGGTTTCGTCTATAAAAACATCAGAAAACAGTGATCACATTTATTTGCAGACCCAGCTGACTTCCTCAAATGTCTGGCTTTGTCCGACTAACAGTCCAAAGGCCAAATTAATTAAATTTACTTTAATGTAAGACAAGGAAAGGCAGCGAATTCTCACATTTGAGAACCTGGAACCAACAGTGGATTACTAGAATAACTGCAGATTAATTTCCTGTCGATTGACTCATCGTTGCAGCTCTAAACACAAGTGTAGAATAAAAAGTAGTTGTTTCTTAATTACAATTTTTAAGTCAGAGCAAGATCATTTTGAAAACTGCTCATGTTGATGTCAACATTAGCAACATTTGTAATTACTTAGGACATTTCTTATTATCAGAAACATTTGGTATACAATAGAAGCTCACAATCTCTCCGTCAATATTTACTGAAGGGGGGTTATTTATAGAAACTACAGGCTCTACGATAGTCTTTTACATAAATATCATACTGCAACAATAAAAGCACTGTTTAAAAAGCACCGCTCCCACAGGACACATCTACCACATCTCAATGCTTTTTTCCAGCAGGGACATGAAACGCAGACACATGCCCACAGCACAGTATGTGTGAAGTACAGCTGTGGCAGCAGACGTTTCCTGTAAGTAAAACTCATGCACCACTTCCTGACGATAAACTCGCAGCAACTCCTCTCTGCTACTTCATCTGCAGCCCTGGGCCTTCTCCACCTGAGACGCCGAGTCTATAATTACAGGCACAGACCACTGCAACATGTGTGTGCGTGACTGTGCTCGAGTGTGAACCTGATGGAGACGGCATTAACACCGACATTCTTCCCTCACATTTCTTAACTGCTGTAGCTACTCACTGGGAACGGACATCTTGGTGACACGGCTTTTGAACAAACAACTCTTCTCTGTCTTCCTGTTTATTTGCATTACTGCCTTTCACTCTGTTGCATATGGTTCCAATTACTCAAACAAGTTACCACCTACAATAAAGCCCTCCATGGAGACCCAAATGATACCGACCTAACACAAAAGGCTTCAACATGAACGCATAGCTGAGGTGACCATTATCCAGCTTTGATGCAAATCAGAATGTCTCATGATAAGCATCCAAATGTTTGATTTTTGAAGGATAATTATATTCTAAAATCAATAAAGTTCCCATCTTCCGTTTCCATATATACTAAGTGCAATGTGGACACAACAAGAGCAAGTAAATAAGCTCCCAGGCATGTATAGTGTTGAGTTACCTTCGGTCCGAAATTATTAATCTAGGTTGCATCGGTTAAAGTCTAACGGGCTACAAATGGAGGCAGCGTTCTGCCAGAGCAAAATAAAAAAACATTTAGCAAGAATGAAACAACCCGTGAAGACAAGACAACCTGTCAAAACTAAAAATAACTCAGGTGATCATCTTTTATGTAATTCTCAAGGAGGCTGCTGTATTTATACTCTGTTCTGATGCTTAGAACAGGAAATACAGCACAAACATAAAAGCATAAACTACTTCTCCTGTGGTTAGAATCACCTTTAGTGAGGCTCCTAAATATAGTTTAAAGAGGGTCATGCTGAATGAAGTGTCATCTGTGGCAAAGGCGCACACGCGCACACACACACACACACACACACACACACACACACACACACAGTCATCATCATCTGACTTGAGTTAAGCAATTCTAGGCAAGAGACGAGTTTTAGCAGGAATTCTGTGGACAAGATGAGACAGAAGCAAACAGGATTTAAAAGGTGAATTGACCTCATTTTCCTGGGCGCCATTGGATTGGATTGACCCACCTTGTTACATGTGTAAGCTCTGCTCAGTGTGTCTGGCAGCGCAGCGTGAATCAGGATGTTGGATCAAACACTGATCTCCAGCCTGGCAGGTTTTTTGGAGCGGGGACACAGAGAGAGAGAGAAAAAAAAAAAAAAAAACAGAAGGGGGAATGAGAGAGATGGAGAGAGGAGATGAAAAAATAAATAAACATGTTTAATTTACTGCATTAATCTGGCTCCAACAGACATCCACGCTCTGTAGTGAGACATTAAAACGTAGCCTTTTCAAATGCAACATCACACAATGATAGGAAGCTAATAAATGAACAGGAAGGTGTGGCACTGAATGAGCAGGTCGTGTTAGCAGCCAAATGTAAAAGAATGCCACGAGAGCTGACGTAGAGGCAGCAAATGTGATTTAAACATCCTGTATTTGACAGTGGAAGTTAACTATACACTGATACATTCTATGAGTGTCCCCAGAAAGTACCAGCACATCATCGGACTACAAAAACACACCGGTACACGTGTGTTAGCAACCAGATAACTTATGAAATAATACAAAAAAAAATATCTCCGGGAACAACGACAACAAAGGAACGATGCACAGAATCTTTTCTTACAAGTCAAATATGAGCAGTGCCGGATCATACAACGCGTCCAGAAGTTACATTAGCAGAGTTAGAAGTCGTGCCGGTTAAACTGTATCCGAGCTGTCGTTTCCATGTTTTTTTTCTTTAGCTTTTTCTCTTTTGGTTACAGGTATATATGAGTGCGCGCTGGCTCACCTGCGCCTCGCGCTCATACTGCACGAGTTGCAGCCTCTTCCGGGACTTTCTGGTAAACGCTACAGACACAGCAGCACGTGACGACTGGGAGGGTAGGCTTTTAAGGTGATATGGTTAACCCGAGGGCATCATGAATGACTCAGTGATACAATGGAAAAATACAGCTTCTTCAAATCTGATAACAATAATGAGAATGATAATGTGCTTTTGTATTTTTGTACACCAGTGGTGGAGAGTAACTTACCTTACATTTACTGTACAAGTTGTACTAGACAACACCCTAATGTTTTATTGACATTGGCTTTACTTTCAGACCCCACTGCTTTATGTGTAAAAGATTATATGTGTGTTTAATAATACAACAAAAAATATGCAAGGAAACTCTGACAAACACGAGTCATTACTGGTATTCTGTGTGATTTTATCTCATCTGTTGAATAAATATAAATATAAGTAAAGTGTAAAAGAAGAAGCTGTTGTTTTAAGTTGTTATTAAAGAGGACACACAGTTTCCAGGACCCCAAATACAACACTAGGAATAAACAGTTTTGAGCTACATACCGCATTAAAATGCTGTTTATATGTTATTGCACCAGTAATAATAATAATCAAATATAATATATGACAGGGGCCTGCATAATGAGTACTTCTACTTTTGATATATTAAATAATTATTCTCCCGGCACTGCATTATACTACAGTATACAATGCCTCATGATTTACAAGTACATACAATACAATACAGTTGATAAACAAAAACATAATTTAAAAATTAATATTTACTCGTGGATTTAATCTGGTTGTCCTACTGTGTTTGTTTATAAACATCCACTATAACATATAGTATTCCTACTTGGATCTATGCTCTGCTAATTGCAAGGTCTCCTTCCACAAATTATTGTGGATTTAGTTCATGTTCATTCATATTCATGCAGCTGCATGTGGGCAAAGTCTGTTAGAAATGCACACCCACACTGAGGCAGCTGACAAATAAAAGTAAAACGCAGGTCTATTACTGGTATACGACCTTTGATCACAGACTTATTGACTCACTTCACTTGATACTAGAGACCGAATTCATTCAGTTCATGAACACGATAGGATACAGTTGGTAATATACAAATTTTATTCAAACATACTTTCAAATTTGAACAATATTCAGTAGGATTTAACAAAGAGCTATTTATCTGAAAATTCCCATTGGATACAGTAGAAAAGAGTATATATAGGAATATCACAGATTTAAAAAAGATCTGCATAGCCAGAGAGAAGACCCACAGAACCCAACAGGAAATAACCTTGGCTTGTAAGCAAGGCTGCATACAAATAACATGATCACTTTCGTGCACTTTTGCTCATAAGCATTGAGTGAGGCAGGTCAGGAATATAAGGGAACGATGCCAGAGCACCCGACTACACCCATGCAGGTCAATGCATTCATTGTGGCATATGTCCACGGGACATAGTACGCTTCCCAGATATCAAACTCCTTCAATTCATGACAGCCAAATCACTTTCTGTATGGAGTTATTTAATCATAATGAGTAGCGCTTTATGAACAACAAGCTGGAGATATTCGATCAAACCAATGAGCGATTGTGGGCGCACAGAGAATGGCAGCACACACACACACACACACACACACACACACACACACACACACACACAATATTGGTCAGGTGTACCCAGAAAAAAACCCAAAAATGTTTAACAAGAATTAGACATTTGAACAAGACATTTGATTACCTGCTCATTTACCAGCCTCTGAAGCAGCACCAAAATGATTTAAAGATGATCACGGTGTAAACATTTGTGGTTTTGATTGTATTATGGGAAGGAGTGATGCTGGTAGATGATCAGTATCTGGCAAGACAGAACTGTTGCGAGTCAGGGGATACGGAGCAGTTCTCCTCACCAATTCTGTCAGTCATATTGAAAATGTACAACCAAGATACGTTTCACAGAAATACGAGCACAAAGAAAAAACATTTGTGTTTCTATAATATATATTTATATCGCTATTGTTATGTCATTCAACCCATGAAAGTACCATAAACATTAAAGTTTAAATGATGACGCCAAAAGTCAAATAAACAATTGGGTTATTTTTAAAAGGAATAAATTATAAAGATGATATATACAAACAAAATTAGCATTAAGGATATTTACAATTAAGTCTCAATATGCCAATTTATTTGCTGTACATGCTGAGTTTATGGGAAGGTCTGCTCCATACAGGCTGGAAGGAGGCATAACCATCCTCAGCACAGGATCGCTCTGTTGCTCATTTATCACAGAAACATAATATCTCCAGTGTACGATTGTGCACAAAGATGCGCTGAATAGGAAAATACTGAGGCTGATTAAAGATAGAAATCTTCATATTAATGAAGGTCAGAACGAAATAGAGACAAGAAGAGTCACCTGATTTTAATTTGAATGCTTGAACACAAATCAGCACCTTGAACCCATGCTGTGGAGCCGGTTGGTGCAGGATCTCAAAACAGTGGATTGTCCTTTTAAGGAAGAACAACTGCTTACACAACTCAAACTTCATTGTAAGAAAAGTAGAGTAGTAAAATACACTTTTACACAGTAGAAGAGAGTACAAAAGAGATTTTCCATGGCACAAAAATCCTCGCAGCAGAATTCTAGTCTTCTGCATCCTGAGACGACCATTAGTGATCAGTAGCCATTTGTTTGTAAGAAAAGTCACAATTAGAAAATAGATAGACTCTGCTTGTTCTCTTCTTTGAGTTTAGCTGTATGTTGGTCACAGCGATACACCAATTCGTCCAATTGGGGAGTGAGACTACACACTCTTATGGGAATCAAAAGGTGTTAGTCTGGTACTTAATCTCACAGCGGGTCGGGAAACTAGCTGAAATGTCGCACAGCGGAAGCATGATTATAAATCGTCAAATCGTTGACCTGAATATATTCCAGGTGATCCAGGTCTAACAACAACATAAAACCCACAACGTCCTGGCAAATTATTGTATGTTACAAATAGTTGCTTGTCAAGTGGCAAAGTGGAAGACAGACTCTGAGCATGTGTGTCACAAATGGTACCCCAAAGAAAATGGAGTGAAAATAGAGATCCTGAAGAGGGGCTTTCAGCAGGGCAACGCTCGAATTCAACATTCATTCTCTGGACTCCCATGTTTGAACCCATATGCAGTCTTTTACGTCATAGTCTGGTGTCACTTGCAGTGTTGAAGCTGGCAAACTACAAGATCAGTCAGGTGAGTTAACGCAGGAAGAGTGCATGGGGAATGTATATTATTATGGCGCCTTAAAAACACAAGGAAGGTAGAACAACCTGCTTGGATGTGCAGAGTGTTGATTTGACTGACAAATAGAATAACACAGTACTGTATAATAAACAAAATAATACCACAGTTTAGTCTTTTACTCCATCAGAGCGGACATGTTGAAGAGCATGACAATGACTTTGGAAAGAGGCAGGAACTGAAAGTTGCTGATTGGTTTCATGATACTCACTGATACTACTTGATGTCAGAGAGTAACTGACAGTACCCAGAATGCAGTTGGCTCTCTGCCCCGTTATACAGTACATACATACCCTGACACATACTTGTCCATGCACTCTGGGAGTAGATGCACATGCTCAGTTTTGCGCATGCAGGACCGCATGCACATTTCCATGTTCAGCACAGTTACAGGTTCTCTCCTGGCTGGTACTGGGGCTCTGTGGAGGTGAAGTAATCCTCCAGGAAGCCCTGCAGGTACTCGAAGGTGGGCCTCTCCTCGGCCTCTTTTCTCCAGCAGGTCAGCATCAGCTCATGCATGGATTCAGGACACTCTGCTGGGCACGGCATCCTGTAGCCACGCTCCACCTGGTCTAACACCTCCCGGTTCACCATACCTGGGAGAGCAAAGGCATGATGTAAGAAACACGTCATCACAATTTGAACCATATAATTTCTTATGACAAATATACTCCCAGTCATAAATCTGTATGCTGTTGGACTGGTGGAGCGTGATGTCAGTAACTGAGTCTCTGTAATAAAAACGCTCAACCTAAAATAAAATATGCATTAAAATGTTAATCTCTCGAACTGAAAAATGGGTTAAAGAAACCGATCCTTGCCTGGATAGGGCACTCGGCCTTTGGTGGCCAATTCAGTCAGCAGGACCCCGAAGGACCAGACGTCAGATTTAATGGTGAAGCGGCCGTACAGAGCAGCCTCGGGAGCCGTCCACTTGATGGGGAACTTGGCTCCTGCAAGAGGACAGGTTTATCAACAAGTTAGAATGAGATCAATTTAGCAGAGACTAAGACTAGAATTACCGGCTCGTGGTTATGTGCTTCCGCCAAGCAGTCTTGACATCCATGTCTGTCTAAAATGTCATCACCTCATCATTTTATCCTATTAAATATTGGTGTGAAATTGTGATAAATATCATAAGCATTCTTGAGCTATGGGCAAACGTGTGTTTTGTGAGGACACAGTGACCTTTGACCATCAAACTCGAATCAGTGCTTGAGTCCAGGAGGACGTTTGTTAGTCAAATTTGAAGGCGTTCCTGAGATATCGCGTTCTCGAGAATGGACAAGCCAAAAAAGATAAGGCACGTAACACCTGCTGCATAAATTTATTTTTTTAATCCTTTTTTCAAATTATTGTTTTTAATATACTGGATACTTTAACCTCTTCAGATCTAAAGAAAATATTCAAACTAGACATGCTGAAGGGAAAAATCACTCTTTAGTTGAACTGCTCATAACTCCCCATAGCCTGTGATGTGGGGTCACAAACAGATATAACTTAATTTTGGTCACAAGCTAAGCAGGTGGGGAACCACTGCGCTATATTGAGAAACAGTAAAAAACAACACCCTCCTGTGGTCTCACCTTGCCTCGCAGTGTATTCATTGTCCTCAATGAGGCGAGCCAGACCAAAATCAGCCACTTTGCAAACCAGATTATCTCCCACCAGGATGTTAGCGGCTCTCAGGTCCCTGTGCACATAGTTCATCCTCTCCACATAAGCCATCCCTGAAGCAATCTGAGAAAGAGACAAAGCTTTGCGATTGTTCTTTAAATCGGTTATTTTTAACCGATTTAAGTGATGCAGCAGCAAATTATTTGTGCTGACCTGTGAAGCCATGTCCACCAGTTGGGGGAGGCGGAGCATTTTGCCCATGTCGCCTTTCAGGAAATCCAGTAAGCTACCTGTTGACAGAAACATATGCAGGTTTGTGCAAAATTGTTGGAGCTGTTGTGGTCATTTCAGCTTTTATACTGTGTCCCTTTACTGATGTGTTACGCATGTACTATTCTATTTATGGACATACATAATGATATCATATACACATATATAATTATATATATATACATATATATAATGAAAAACATTATTTTCAGGAAACATGTTTCCTGAGTTCTACTGTAAACATGTTTATATGTTAAAGTGCGATGAATCCTAGCTCACCTTGTCCCATGTACTCTGTGACGATGTAGATCGGCTCCTCGGACACCACAGCATAGAGCTGAACCAGCTTTTCATGTCTCAGTTTCTTCATGACCGAAGCTTCCTGGAGGAAGGCCTCAGGAGACATAGTGCCGGTTTTCAGAGTCTTTATTGCCACTCGTGTTGTCCCGTTCCACGTTCCTGGATATTTAAAAAAAAGAAAAAAATGAGAGTCACATCACTATTGATTGTTACAAGGCAATAAATTATTAGCTTCCAGCATAAAGTCACGTGAAACCAAATGACCAACACTGCTACGGATAGAACAAAACCTATACCAGTGATTTCTAACCAGTGCTACATGTACCCCATGGGACACTTCTGTAGTTGCCAGTGGGTATGAGGAAAGATTGTGAGTAGCTGTAACAATTAAACACCACGTGTATACGCGGAAACAATTCGAAAGGAGATAATGTTTTCAGACAGTTTGTTAATATTTTACTGGAAGTGTGCCTTGCAACTTCTTTGTTCAATAAGAGCAAATGTCTCCAGAGAATGACAGAAAACCAGCAGAAGCACTTTCTGAGATACTGGGTTATTAAATCAAGAAACAGATCAAAGCATGGCTTACCCATCCAGACCTCTCCAAAGCAGCCTTGTCCCAGCTTGAGGTCAAGACGGAGGGAGTCTCTTGGGATCTCCCAGGCATCCTTGGACAAGCCCTGAGTCTGAGGCTTCAGCACCGGACAGATGTCTGTCAGACTGTGACACAGCCCATCAGAGTGCTCTGGGGGGGACACAAGAGAAGACATGCGGTGAAAAAAGGAAATCCAGCTTCCTTCCAAATCGCAAAATAATCTTCAAATGACAATATGAACTCACTGCGATAGTGGTTAACGAGCTGCTGCAGGTTGCTGAACTGTGTGCGTGATGTGATGTAGAAGCCTCCGCTGTCCAGCTTCCTGATCTTGTAGTGCTTCACGTTCAGCCCTTTGGTGTTGTCATAGTCCAATACAGACAGACAGTAGGCACCTGGAAAGAAGAAGAGCAAATATGTTTATACATGGCGAGTAGAAATGTACTACAAGTATAAACTGTTCTAATAATCTGGGATGAAAATATCTAATCTATCAGAAACATCACAAAAACATAAAAGTAAGTTAAATGGCGGGTTCAAATTGTTTAAATGGATATTAAAAGTATTTAAAGTTGTGGGTGACAATGTGCCTATTGCGCCACTAGAGGGCAGCGTCAGACAGACGAATAAAACAGCATGGATCCCAGAGCTCTCTGAATGTTTGAACTGGGTGATGTGGCCTGTGGTTGCACAGTCCTCAGCCTCAGCTCCACACTGACCTAATTCTGTCGGGCTCACCCACCCAGTACCTCTCCACTCACTCTCCCTCATCCCTCCCCACCGTGTCCCTTTTCGCATTCTATGCAGGGCTTAAATAGATATCCAATACTAGGACACTACGGGAATCCTGAAATGTACATGTGTACACAAATCACACACACACACGCACACACACACACACACACAGCTAGCTAAACCTGTGGGGACAGTGTTGCTGCAGCTGCTTATCAGAACTGTCTGCAGACAGAGTCCCACAGGCGTCACATCCAACCTTCTCCCATCTGCCTGCTTCGTCTCTCTTCTGTACCCCCGCCGGCACAGCGTGGCACACAGAGGACAGCATGGCGACACGTCTTAATGCCTGACAGAATTTGCTTTCTTCTCCTCGGTGCATTTTGGTAAGACATGTCATCAGCTTCATGTTGAGATCTGAAGCTTTCTTTAATTTATTATTATTTTGAAAAATAAATTAAAATGACAGATAGGAGCCCACAAAAACTGCAATTTGAAAAAACACCAGTAATAAATGGTATAAATTGCAGCAAGTAGGTTTTTCACAAATTCCCAGGACACACTTTACAAACTTACTTCCCAGATACTCTGTTGGTCATAACACTAATTTTACCATTTAATAGGGCTGGTAATCGTTCGAAATGTTTTGTTCCATTCAAATATCAAAATAATTTGTATCTGAATGACAATATGCCTCCATTGAGGAATTTCTTTGACAAAAGCCCTTTTTTATTTTAAAGAATTCTGGAGCAAACAAAGATTTTGATACTTGATGCAAAGAGCACATTTTGGTCAAGACTCGAGGCGAATTGAGGTCTGACACCCAGCCCGACAGTCTCCTTTGTGCGAGGCACTCTTACCTTTGGTGGTCTCACTCTCTCGCACCAGGAAAGTCCCTCTCCTGTTCTCTAAACTTAGCAGCAGCCTCTCTGAGTCGCGGCGAGTGATTTTACCAAAGTACCACCTGGTGAGGTTGAGATAAAAACAAAACATGGGACACACAGGGAGGAGCAGGTTGGTGAGGGGAAGAAGATGTGTGTGGGTGGAGGAGAAGGAATGCCGAAGCGAGGGTGAGTTTGTTGCTCATGGTTTCAGAAAATGTAGTAAAACTTCGTCTTTGCATTCCAGATGCAATGCATACTAATGCCTACAGTGCAACAGCTGCTTACCTGGACTCTAGAGTCAGTCTGAGATGACTGGAAGGGCAGGAGGAAAAGTGAGAAATTGAGTTGTTATAAAAGTATATAAAGTAGTTTGTGTGGCTTGATTGTATAAGCAAGCAGGTTAGCATGTAGAGTTAAGTAGTGCGTGTCCCCCAGGAGAAGAAAGATAGATGCACAGATTGATAGCACTTTCATGTTTTTAGGGTAATTACAGCCAGAAGTCGTTTAGCTTAGCTTAGCATAATGGAGATCTTGCCTTCCGCGCGAGGTTGCCAGACAACCAGCTGAGACTCCAGGAAGTTTCTGTGCCCGACCAAGAAATAGTCCCACACATAACCCCCCGGTATGACCACAAATTGAGGTTTTCACACCTGGGTTTTTGTACAGATTATACACACAAACTATAGCGTGTTAATAAGTGAGCTTCACAGGTTTAGGAAGGTGGATTTCGTTACCTTTAGACGGATGCCAGGTTAGCTGCCCCCCCCCCATGTTTCCAGTCTCTATGCTAAACTAAGCTAACCAGCCGCTGACTGTAGCTTAATCTAACAGACCGACATGAGCGTGATTTCAATCGTCTCATCTAACTCTCGACAAGAAAGCAAATAAGTGTCGTACTTTCCCCTGAGACCTAATTTTAAATTAACATTGACATAAAAAAACAAGAAAATTCTTCAGAATCAAACATTTGTGTGTGCTTAATTAAAGACAGATACAAGAGACAGCAAGAAAAAAAAAAGAAAAAAAGGTTTACTCTTCTGCCTGGATGGAGTCAGATGGAGCCACATAATTGCTGGGGATATAACCGCTCTCTCCAGTGGTAAGGGAGCGCGCCAGCCACCAGTCGCCTTCTCTGCACAGATGAAACGACAACACACAGCTTCACCGAGGCTCATCACACACCCAAAACACAAACGAGTCAGTCTGACTTTAAGGGCTGGTGTTTATCAAGTGTCTCAGAATATAAATAAATGCTGCTGCTGATAATTTGGCTTTCTCGGTGGCCACTCTAAAGTTTTTAGTTCCCACAGTAATTGAGCTCTTGGCTCCTGGAGAAGCTTGATAAATGCAAGCCCATCAGGTGTCTCTACTATTTGGGTGTTACGTAATTATAAACAAACATGCATTCATGTAGGTGTGACAACAGGGAGGGATGGAGCTTGTGTGCTAAACTTAATCAGGGAGTGAGTAGCTTTGCAGCACTAGATTCACTTCCAAAGTAAAATGAGCATTTGATGACATTAATTGCCTCTAGTTGACCTGGATTGATTGTAGTGCTGCAAGGCTTCACACCAACTTCCCCAGACTACTTCACTGAAGGATCAGGGGCTGCATGGGCAGAGTTATGCGGTTTGTGCCTTTCTAGTGAAGTGGTATTACAGTGCAAAAGTACTTTGAATGCGTCAGGTGATACAAGCACAGAGACGGACAAACGGCACATTCAAATACAATTCCAGGAAAGCTTCACAAACCTGCAGTTCACTTTCCTCCTGTAAAAAACAAATTGTGATGGTTTGTGATGAAATGGAAAAGAGAGATGAAAGGGAAATGGTGGAAAATAAAGGGGTTAAAGAAAGGAAGAGAGCACGTTATGAGCTGTTGAAGAATAGCAGAGTACAGACTCATAATATGACAAATATGGTGCATAAAGCTACAACCCTAAAATATTTAAATCATTACATAACTTGCAGACAAGGGGGGCATAATGATGAGGTCGAAAAACATGCAGGGGGCACAAAATTACAATAATAAAAGCTTATCAGGTCAGTGTACATGGCTACAAAATCAAACTGGACCAATCAGAAAGCTATGAGAAGCCTGCCTGACACCTTATTTGACTGTGATTACCCATAAACTAATCTTAGAGATAGTTAATGTATTCTGGTTGAACTTGACCCAATACTGATCCAGGTCTTGGCTTAAGGGGCCAGATAATCCACTATTGTCCTCAGCTCCTGCATTCTAGGTCAGCAGTTTGTTAGTGGGAAAGCAGCACTGGGGGGTGCAGCACTACAGTATATGGTTCACTGCACCTCTATTGATTCACAGTGCAAGCTCTAAAAACAAGCACGGCTCTCCGCAAACAGGTTTGATTTGTCTTTGGTAACTGGGTCTCGGGATAAACCAGTAAAAATAGCCACGTCCTTACTGAGGAGGGCCGAGCAGCGAGACGTATAGTCGGTCTTTTGTGAATGAAGCAAAGATTGTGCAGCAAGCTCTACTGAGGAACCCCGTCTCTATGGTTACAGTGGGTTTCAGAGAGGCGACAGGCATTTCGGGGTGTAAAACAGACAACTGAGCAATAACTCAGACAGACAATCTGTGGACGTGTCTATGTGCAGTTATCCCCTCATCATTTACACAGTGCGTGTGCATGTGACGAAGGTCGATTTGAAACAGGACATTGTGTGATTCTGTATTTTCCTTACGTGTTGTTGACTATCTGGAGGCGTTCACCCTTCCTGAAAGAAAGGTCCGAGGCCGTTCTAGACTCGTAGTCATACAACGCCACGAACGTCGTCACGCCTCCTATTAGGACAGAAAGTTTGGCCATTACCAGAGACATGTTGTACATACTCAGTTAAAACAACAGACACAACACATAAAGCTGAGGTTCTCACCTGCTAGTGTGATTCTGTTGGGAGAGGTGACAGCATTGTTGTCCACACCTCCAAACAGGGCCAACTCTGCAGTATTGGTCTGATTGCCACCAAGACCTCCATCTATAGCGGGACTACGATTGGGTGTTAAAGACTGTTGATTGGTGCTGAGGTGGTGGCCGCCAACCACTCCACCAGAGCTGAGGTTGCCCTCGAGGCTGCGGGTTCGCTGGCCAACATCCTTGGGCTTACTCTTGGATCCCCCCATGGCCAAGGCCTGTAGTGCATTGAAGGACAGAGATAACAAGTCTATGAGATCGCAGGTGAAAACAAATTGAAATTGCATTTCACGGCACTGTCAAACATAAATGACATGTTAATTTTGCATCAGATAGACTTGCTTTCTTATGTCATTTTCCCAGAACACATTCTCTGGAAAAATTCCTCTGACTGCCACAAGGCCAGATGCAGAAACCAGAGACGGAATGGAGACCACGACTCTAAACCCACTGAGACACAGTGTCATGTAGACCACATGAACCACAACTTCCCAACGGACGGAGGAGCAGCTGCCACTCCACGGTTTCCAAACACACACCAGATACATTTCACCCATACTGCCACCAGCTGAGCACATACACAGCAGACACGTCGCGCATTCCTGCATGAACATGTGTCAGACACAGATGCACATACAGAGACATCAGCATTTCGTGGTGTCATAGTCCCCAGCTTTATGGAAATTGATCATTTAAAGACGAGTCAGTTTATTTATCAATTAATGCTTGGTATCTCCTGACAAATCCTATTCACATCCACGCCCCTTCAGTCATTTAAGGCTGGGGCAGCAACAAAACATATTTTAGCCACCTGGTACACCAAAAGAAAAAACTCTACATCACTTTAAGTGTACACTATATTTCGAATATTTTTGACGGTTTACCATTTCTCACAGGGAGATGAAGCAGTTGTTTTTAATCTATGCTCCCTCCATAGCCAACAGACTCCATTGAAAAAAAAAAAGAAGTAGTTTTACCTCACAGAACACAGGGGTTGCTGATCTGTGTAATTGCCAGACTTTGGTTAATCCGTACTAACCCTTTAAAAACACCAAAGTCACACAAGAACACAAAATAGTCGATCAAGGCAGAGGTAGATCAGCAACTCAAGTGTTCTGCAAAGAAAATTCTATGATTTTTTTCAATGGAGTCTCGTGGCTTTGACGAGAGCATAGACAACGGCTTCAGTTTCCAGTTGGAAACATAGACTATAGCCTATCACTGCAAGGTAAACCAGCGCACACTTAAAGCGATATAGATTGTTTTGCAGTTCTTTCTTTGAGGTGGCTAAAATACGTTTTGCTGCTGCCCTGTCTACAGCAGTACATTACTTTGCTTCTGTGCAGTAACTGTTTCTCCAAACTAGGGGTGAGCTGACAACAAATATACTGTAGGTAATACACTGACTATAGATAAGAACCTCATACAACTCATACAACATGATGATGGAACTGACCAATTAACATTTCCATCACTAGAGCCAACAGCCCTGCCAAACATTCAATGGTTGGAGCCTCTCAAATGTGAGGATTTATTTTTATCATTGTAAATTGAATATTATTGGACTGTTGGTTGGACAATACAGGCAAATTGGAGACATCATCTTGGGCTGAAACCAACATTTGCCTATTTACTCATGCAGCAAACAAAGAACAACATCATAATTCCTTGGAGAAATGTCTCCGACACCCTGACAAACACAAGTCCGATACTCATTTCTATTTAGCTCTGTTTTGGTGTCAACCAAATCCTGCGAAAGATATCCGTCTCTTAAGCAGCTAAGTGCTTTCCTATGTTGTTTGGTGCTGGAGAGGAACACCGGGTTAATCAGAGCTTATTTGCTGATTGTTGTTGCTGCAATTGGAGACTTGAGAATAAACAAAACTGTAAAAATGAAATAAAAGAATTGCCTGAAAGACGCTAAAATGCTCTGTAACTTGGGTGAAATGTGAGGTGATAACTCTCTGTGGTTCCATCACTACAAGGGAGTGACCCTGTTTACATCATAGCTCACTTGATCCCTTGTTAATTTGAAACAATTGATTGGTGCAGCTTTAACGGTAAAGATAATCAACACATGAATTGATAATGAATCCTCAGTTGCATCTCTACTGTGCAGCCACTGATCCATTTATGTGCTCTACGAGTACCACAGCATATGACAGCACACTACTTAAACATAGCTTTTATTTTATCATGTTGCTGACTGTTAAAACAGTGAAGTAGTTCCAGAAAGATTTAACCAGTGCGAGCATCAGTGAGTCATTAGATGAGTGTTGAACATCAGTAAGTTTTTAGCAATGGAAAAAAATGTAGATACTCTCCCAAAGTCTAATGAGAACAGACCAAAGGTCAAGAGGGCAGTTTTGGATTGGATTTGGACTCTACATATCTTCATTACTGAAGCTTCCCCGCCTACCAGGGCTGATGAAGTGGCTCTAATAACAGCTTAGAGCCAGGAAATCATTACACTAAGCCAAGGATAATTTAGAGAGTCAAGCCTGTGCTATCACGGATAGATATAGCCATGGGGGTCCACTGGGAAATGCTAATTTACAGAAAACACTAAGGTGGGGTGGCTAGGGAGCCCTTCTGATAAGCAGAGGCCGGTCAGAATGCATCTGGGAAGTGTCAGGCTGCTCAGCCCTCAGCTGACATTACCCTGCCTGACTGTTGCTATTTAAGAGGCCATACATCTGTTGGATCTGACACTGGAGTCAGCCAATGCATGAGCCCACTCCCAACAGTCTAATCCTATACAAGAGACAAGCTTTGATACACAGGCGAGCAGGCATGCTCGCGGTCAGAGCGATGCAGTGACATATGGTGGAAAATGCGTGGCACAAAGAAGAGCACAGTTATCTAACCACGCAAGGGATATTAGCAAAGCTGTCACTGGTTCTTGTCGGTCATTTTGCCTGCCCCCCCCCCTCATTTTTCAGACTGGCAATCTGCTGGGAGAAGGGGACAAGGGCTTTCAGTCAGTTTTGGAGATTCCTACGGATGTACAGTATGTGCAAGTGCACAATAAGCTCATCCAAAAGACGAGTGCAGCTCAGAAACAGAAAGAAAGTGGAAGCAGGAGAAATGACAGGAAGGGAGGGGTTCATTTTCGGTTGGCATCATGAATCTGGAGGGGAGGGCTAGGAAGCGAAGAGGGGTCAATGGAGACGGACAGTCGATACCCCCCCCCCCCCCACTCCCCCGCCCCCTCCGCCTCCCCCCAGGGCATGTCTGCATAAATGGGGGTCGCAACCCAGCAAGTGTAACACAGCGTGCAGGTTGGCAGACACGAGAGCGCAGACACAAAGATGTCGGGTGACTCGGGGAGCTGCTCTTTGTGTGATCTGTGTTCTCCCCGGGCAAGCAGACTGGTTGCATAGTTAATAAGCTATCAGAGGCAGAAGACAGCAGAGACGCTGCTTCTCTCATCTACAGTTGGTGGCCGAGTAAAAGCTTTCCCCGTTCCACACAGACGCTTCTTTCACTTAAGGGTTGTCGCCTTATTGAGGGATAACTCGGAGAGTGCTTGAATAAGACATTATATGGACAGACCATTGCTAAATAATGGTGACTGATGCTGACTCGCTGAAAATGCTTGTAGCGCAGCAGCTGTGCATGTAACATGGCATGTGATATGATTTAGCCACTCACACATTTCAAGGTTGAAAAGAATTAGGTTTGTTTAGCCAGCAGCGTCCTAATACTCTGACCCAAACTGCATTCCCAGACAAATACACTGAAAATTCCCGGAAAGGGAAGACCGAACCGAGTAAACACCAAACAGGGCCTTAAGAGAGTCTCGGGCTGTCCTTCGCACTCAGTTTGCAACAAACCCATCTTTTGTCAGCTCACAGCAGGCGCTGTAAACAAGACACACAAGTGGCCTGTAGCTTGCAGGCTGCCAGCTCTTAGCGTGTTTTAGCTCTAACAGCCGGCAGGAAATATGGAAATGAAGGAAGTCATGAAGACAAACAATGTCATGTTTTTGCAGGAATCATGTTTGTGTGTGTGTATCATCAGTAGCTAATAGTAACGAGAGCCTGTTTCTGGCCTAATAGGGCTGAGATACTGTAACAAGCACACACTGTCTGGGGGTGGGGTGGGTGGGGGGGCTGCATTAAAAATCCCTCTGGCAAGGTGGGTGTGTGTGGCTGAGTGTGTGGGGGATTTGTTTAATTATGCATAAGATCTGACAATGAATTCCAAATCCTTCAAGTCTCCTGGGCTTTTGGTAAATGGGATAGTCTTTTAATATTGCTGCCGGGGTTGTTTTTCCCCTACAGGATGTTGAATGTCTCTGTTCTGTTTGCTTTTTCTTTTGATATGAAAAGAAAACAATTATGATCTCCGTCATTGAAATAAAAGAGGTGAATAAAAGAGGTGAATAAAAGAGGTGGTGTCTTTCAACCATTAATAGGCTTCACTGATGGAGTCTTTGTCAGGGCCGGATCATGACACTGGTCCATTTCCCCAAACAACACAGGCTTTGTAATTAAGTCTCCGCTGCTCTCGCTCGTTTAAAAAAAAAACAACAATCTTTTCATTATTCGGGAAGGATCAAATAGTCATGAACATCAAAATTGAACAGTCCTGCCTCAGATGTTCTGTATGCAGGCTTAATGAGAGATTCCCCACTACGAGGCTGAAGCAAACCCGAAGTAACACTGAGGGAGACGGTGAAACTCTGCGATGTGACGCGGCATGTCAGGGCTCGTATGTTGCGATGACAGCTACAGTAAAAGACCACTCACTTCTACCTCACAGTGCTAGCTGGTATTGGCCTGTGGTTGGGCAAGTTCTGACGATCTACCGTCACTAATAGAGGCCGGTCTTTAATGCCTCAGGTTAAAGGTCACAATTAAGCTTTAGCTGAAACAATACAATTGCAACAATGACACTTTTGTCTTAACACTTTGTCACATTGTAGGAATAACAAGTGTTCCTGCATGATGGCACCGTTCACATATGATGATGAATCACTGAGGACAGGCAACATGGGATTGGTCTGAAGCCCTCTGCCTCTTGAGATGACAGATGAAATACATACAGAGGAACCTGCAGCAATGAGTTTAAGAAAATATAGTTAGTCTTGTTAGCCAGTTTGACCACTTGTAGGCCACATGTAGGCCTCTTCTGCGAGTACTCTTAAGGGAGCTGAGTGGACAACAGGGGGCAAACTGTAGGGAGATATTGTCCTGTTTTTACTTGCTGAAGC